TTCCATGGTATCGAAAATATTAAACTAAAGTTTGATGAACTAAAAGTCCTCACATGTATAATTGATCATGTCTGATCAATTATACATGAATATCTTCCATGGTATCGAAAATATTAAACTAAAGTTTGATGAACTAAAAGTCCTCACAAATGTTTACTTGTTAAGATCAAGTGACATTACTGCATTCAATGTGGTAATGTGGAACCATATACAGTTTTATCAGCATCCTCTTTTTAAATGTGGTTAATATGTTTGTTTGTGGGAAGTTAAGCACAGAGCCACACAATAGGTTATCTGTACTCTGCCCACCACGCATATCGAAACCAAGTTTCTAGCGTTGTAAGTCCGCGGATATACCGCTGTACCACTGAGGGACGTGGATAATATGAGAGAACTGAAATATTCAAAGGATATGTGATTCCCTTCAATGACCTGCGCTGATTTGCTAGACTTAAAAGCTGTTTTCTCTGCATTTGTTATGATTGGTCGTTGATTTTAGAACTGAAATATTCAAAGGATATGTGATTCCCTTCAATGACCTGCACTGATTTGTTTGACGTAAAAGCTGTTTTCTCTGCATTTGTTATGATTGGTCGTTGATTTTAGAACTGAAATATTCAAAGGATATGTGATTCCCTTCAATGACCTGCGCTGATTTGCTTGACATAAAAGCTGTTATCTCTGCATTTGTTATGATTGGTCTTTGATTTTATACAGTGACAAGAGCCACTTGTCTAATTTAGATCTGAAGAAGATAGTTGAACTATTTGACAGAGATTGTGTTGGGCTAACTGTGAAAATGGAAGTGGGTGTTATGGTGTGGATTACACTCTGTTATTTGACCACTGGCCTTGTTGTAAAGCGCTTTCACCTTTTAATGCCCATGCGTTCTACGAATACCAACATGGAATTCCCAAGACTATTGAGAGGGATTTTGGTTGGCCTGCCAATGTTTGGGTCTTGTAATATAACACTCTCTACCATAAATAACATACGTTTCACGTGTAATTTGAATGTATAATATTAACATATTCGAATGGATTAACCGGAGTCCACATAAAACAGCCTACAGGGATTAATTCGTAAGGTTATAGACAACAGCTTTCTATTCATCACTAACTAGCCAAAATATTGAATTAATAATGGTGACCTGAGACCTGTAAAAACCTAGCTGAAATCATGCTTTGCAGAATAGCAACGGTTATTTAGGACAAAAGCGTTGCTAATCGCATCAGAATGGTAATATGGTAATCACTAGGACATCCTGAATTTACTGAGTGAGAATTTCCGCTTTCGTGGAGAACATCGAAGGCTCTCGTACTGTTGTGCTTTTTGCCTCTACATCGTCTAACGAACATCCTTCCTTATTAAGAGTTCTAACATTTTCATTCAGTCGTCAGTTAACTGTAGTGGGATATACTGTCGAATGGTTAAGCATTCGTCACTAACCAAAATATAAGAAACTAATCATACCGCCCGAAGGACCACTATTTCTACCTGCAGGGACACTGCAAATTGTTCTTAGGAAGCTCGACTAACCCTCTTTGTAAATGTGTGCTTGCCGATTTCAGATTTTTGTACAATATTCTCTAGTTGAGAATTCTTTAACAGCAGAAGTAGCTTCAAAATCTTTTGAAATTATCTAATTTTCAATATATTCACATATTATTTCCAGAACTAATACATATATTCTAATATACCCATTGATAGGAAAAAAATAGAGAATAAGGAAATTACTTGAAACTTTCGATGATATCAAATGTACTGGCGCATCGTGTAGTCTTTAAAAGGCCTGTTGCCGTCAGGAATAGAAACTATATTAGTGTGGCATGCTGCATAACGTTAGTTCAAGACATATAGTTTTCATGTTGCATGAATAAAATTTCAGTAGTAAAAATGGAATAATGATACAAGATATACTAAATGGTGGGAAACGTTATTTAAAACAAGAACCATGAGACAGACTACTTAGTTCAAGTTATTACAAACAACATTAATTTTCTACCTACCACTCATGAAATTATAAATGATAGGATTGGTGGCGCTGTTGGCGTAGCACAACCAGTGAGAGAGGAGAGATACTACAGAGGTGGCATGCGTCTGGGGTAAGCCTATAGTGTACCTATAAATCAGAAATTTCATATATATCACATATATATTCCATTTTCTCTTCCACAGTTATTTTTATTTCAGTCAAAAGGGATAAGCAATGAATGCACAGTTTTAAAGTGGTTTTAATTTACTTCCTCAACGAATGTACTAATTGGATAGAGGTTATCTGGTGAACTCCTTTTATATTTTTGTAAGGACCTATTGGACGAGGAAATAGTATATCGACGAATACATGAACATATACGTGTTTTAAAGCAAACTGCAACTCACAGAAGTGAGAAATTACAAATAAAAAAAGCTATTTGTAACTAACTATATATACACCAACGTAAACATACAATCAAACTTCAATGAATTGTATTATTTATTTTATACAAGTTATGAAAAATAATAAATTTTTAATTATGATTTAATAATCTATTTCGTTAATCAAATTAATCTTCAACAGTTATATCGCTTTAAACCAAAGTTCTTTTCGTTGCATATCTAAAAAAAAAGAATACAAACCTTGTCAACTGATAGATTTAAGTACTTTATTTGTATATGTGTTATATAAAACTGTTAGACTTAAGTACTTTATTTGTGTTATAAACGGTCAAATAATTATTCTTTCTTACCAATGATTTAACTTATATGTGTTATATAGGCCTGTTAGTTTAAGTAATTTACTTGTGTTATGAACGGTCAAACAATTTTCCTTTCTTACCAATGTTTTAACTTATATATGTTACATAAGACTGTTAGTTTAAGTACTTGATTTGTGTTATGAACGGTCAAATAATTATCCTTTCTTACCAATGTTTTAACTTATATGTGTTACATAAGACTGTTAGTTTAAGTACTTGATTTGTGTTATGAACGGTCAAATATTATTCTTTCTTACCAATGTTTTAACTTATATATGTTATATAAGACTGTTAGTTTAAGTACTTTATTTGTGTTATGAACGGTCAAACAATTATTCTTTTTTACCAATGTTTTAACTTATATATGTTATATAAGACTGTTAGTTTAAGTACTTTATTTGTGTTATGAACGGTAAAATAGTTATTCTTTTTTACCAATGTTTTAACTTATATATGTTATATAAGACTGTTAGTTTAAGTACTTTATTTGTGTTATGAACGGTCAAACAATTATTCTTTCTTACCAATGTTTTAACTTATATATGTTATATAAGACTGTTAGTTTAAGTACTTTATTTGTGTTATGAACGGTCAAACAATTATTCTTTTTACCAATGTTTTAACTTATATAGGTTCTACTTAGAGATTGTTCTTCTCATTATTCTGCTGTGTGGAGTAAATTGTTTGTCCTATCAGAGACGTATTGTAAGTAAATTGTTTGTCCTATCAGAGACGTATTGTAAGTAAATTGTTTGTCCTATCAGAGACGTATTGTAAGTAAATTGTTTGTCCTATCAGAGACGTATTGTAAGTAAATTGTTTGTCCTATCAGAGACGTATTGTAAGTAAATTGTGTCATATCGATATTTCAACTGGAGTGAACCATTTAACTTATTCACGTTTTATCTGATAAGTAGTTGAACCAAGAAACATTTCATGTGTTAAAAATGTTTGAAATGAGATCTATTGTCACTGTACTGACTTAAAACGTTATTCCTTTGCATTTCAACTTCTTGGTTAGCTGAAACTTGACTAACCTGAGAGTGTTGATTAGGTGCACGGGAAGGTAACAGATACCATTAAGCCGAAACTTGACTAACCTGAGAGTGTTGATTAGGTGCACGGGAAGGTAACAGATACCATTAAGCCGAAACTTGACTAACCTGAGAGTGTTGATTAGGTGCACGGGAAAGTAACAGATACCATTAAGCCGAAACTTGACTAACCTGAGAGTGTTAATTAGGTGCACGGGAAGGTAACAGATACCAAAAATCACTACCACAGCGATGAGCATCTTAGCAGCTTTCTGCCTGGATTGGATTTGTCCTTCACAGCTGGGATTCACAGAACAGATACGTAACTTTCCGTTTCTGCAGGACTGGTTTAGTGTAACTGGCACCGAAACAGAAGAGAGAAACTAGAGCTTAAGCTACCAGATATATAACTTCTAAACAGTATTTTATTTTAAAATTAATAATCGCCCAATCAATTAAGTGTCAAAATATTCACGTATTCTGTCCATTTATCTATCTGTTGGTTTTCTTAAGTTATTAATGTTACAATTACTAGTTTGGGTCCATAAGTCCAATTTAAAAAAAGATAATAGTGTGGTAAACAAAGCTTCAAACAGTTAGCCAAAGACAAACCAAAATATTAACTTTACCTTGTAGCTCTTAATATATCGGTATTTCAGATTACTGTACTACAAAAAAAAATATTCGAACAACGACTTATAATTTAATGGTAGGCAATAAAATGTTTCATTTATATTTATAAAAGAATATTTGATCTCACCTATCATCAAATATTATCTATTATATGATTATCACCAGATGACATAACACAGAGTGTCTGATCAAATGTATTTTAAAATACATTAACGATTGGCTACGCAAAGCAGAAAGGTTTTTGTTCTATTGCGGGTACTGAGATAAAATAAATAGGGAGAGGCCCGTAATTTTCCCTGACTTATTTGTTAATTTTATTTTCAACTTTCCTAATTTTACCAGTTTCGTGGCCATCCTAAAAATTAACTGTTATAATACTTATTGTCTAAAATAGCCTTGTCGTTCTGGTGGACAATAAATTTGTGCCTTAAGTGATCGCAAGGATCTGTGTATCTCGAGTCATTCATATCATAGATATCAAGCAACAGCTGTTCTTACTATCTAGGCCTTACTAATTCTCTCAATTTTGTTTTTATTCATAGGTATTAAGTATTTTATTTGTTTCTATGTTCTTTATTACCGTTTTTTTAAACTTGTGTTAGCACATTCATCAACTTAGGGACAAAAAAACACATGTTCCATCATAGCATTGTAGAATGATCGGTAATTCACGATGAACTATATATATGCATCTTATACGTGGCACATCTGTGGTGACACATCTCTCTATTAGCATATTCAAAACATTCTTAGAGCGTGCGATTAACTCTTTAATTTATTTTTGTTCATGAAGGATGAGGTGCCTGGTCTATTTAGATTATGGTAAAACATACACATTTAGATTTGCTTAGTCTGATCTTTTTTGTTTATAACTTTTTCCTCATATGTTAATTTCAGAGTTGATATTGTATGGGAGACATTTATGGTGTTAAAAATTGAAATTCTCTAAAAGGTTTTCTTTTGCTATCTTACTTTTTGGATGCAAACACAAATTGTGAGAAGCATTAAGCACCTATAAAATAAAATCACTATGAATTTGCATATAAATAATAAACTCTCAAGGGTAAGTATTATAAGGATTTCACAAATGTAGGGTGTGTGTTGTTGTATCACGATATTACATGCAATCGGTAATATGGTAATTTAGGCTCTTCAGTCTCGAGAAAATTCTTCTAGTATTCAAATCAAATAAACTTTCAAATTTTATTATAACTGAGTGTGCAGAGACATCTATTTTTACAGAGACAAGGAAAGCAATTGTCTCCAAATTTAGTAAGTCCACACGTGTGGCTGTGATAAACATATAAAAAGGTGTTTGTTCGTAACTGAGCACAAAGCTACACAATGGGCTATCTGTACTCTGCCCACCAC